TTCCCAAAAAAATTTTTAGTTGTAGCTATGGTGGGGGTAAATTGGCCCATAGTGAAATTAATTCTTATATACACCACTGGATAGATCACTTATGTTAATTTTACAACTTATACCTATATAGAGATTTTTAATACGAGTATGATGTATATTAAATTAAAAGTTTATCAAGAAAAATATTGTCATTATGTTAGAAAAATCTTCATCTAGCTAAATCACTTATTTGAATATCATGATACCTAATTTATTTCCATACAAATCTAATTCTGATTCAGAAGGTGAAAGATTTGAATAGGTACTTACATCTTATTATTCTTATTTAAAACGAGTGTTCTTATTTTTGTTTTTTGATTCTTTTAAATTATTTTCTTCTTTTAAGACAGAGTATAGTTAAAGTGACCTAATAAGATAATATTTAAAAAATGAAAAGCAATACTTTTACAATCTATCATTTCAGTTGCTTTTGTTATGTATTCAATAACAATATCTATGATATAATAAACTACTAAATACTCATCACTTTATGAGAAACATTGTTTTTTTTCATAAAGATTGTGATTTTAGTTTTAATTTAATTTGTTAGTATTGGCTAATGGTGTTTATTTATGTTAACTCACATTTYAAGTCAAATTATAGRAAATTAAGAAAAAATAAAAAAAATATGTTCAGTATAATTGCATAAAAATAAGTTATCAATTCAAATGAATAACAATATTATTTAATGTATAATTATACATTATACATTTCTTCGTCAACAAACTCGATTATGACTCAACATTTCTTATTCAAAATTTTTTTATTTTTTTTTAAGAACAACAAATTATGGTTATCAAAACTGTGTTTTCTTATTTCTCCATCCATCTTCAATAGTCTGATTTTATRCATTCAATTTTCTTCCTCTTGGCTAATATCTAAGTTTTCTTTCTTAATTTTCTTTTCTTTCTTTAATTTTTTGTCTTTTTTAACTTTTTTTTCATCTTTTATTTGAGAAGTATCATCTGGTGGTGTACTCTGTCGTTTTCTCTAAAATATCAAGAATACAATGTTAGCTAGGTACAATGATATCATTACAATATAATAAACATGTRTACAAGCAACAAAGTAATGTAAAACAAATATTTCACTATGAGATTATCAGATATACTTAGCAGCAAGTAAAGCATTAAAAAAAAATTCCACTCAATTATTTGAACAATATAATATCTTAAGTGAAATACTATGTTGTGCACATGAATTGAGGATAAGTATTTATTATCTATATATTAAAAGGATGTCGCACCTGCATGTATTGTCTCCATCTTATAAGTACATCGCTCAACATATCATATTTAGAATTTAGAGTGAATTAACATCTTCTAAATTTTTTAAGATAAAATTATTATCTAGTTAATCACAGGCTTAGCCTTTTTATCACATTATAATTTTGGAACACGAGTTATAAGTATTTTAAGATGTACAAATAATTTATATTTTTAAAATATTCATAACTTGCTTTTTAAAAATAATAAAAAGCCTATAAGATTGACTGAATTATAATAATTTACCTTTAAATTTTATAACAGGTTAATTCACTCTAATTTCTAATCTAACTAAGCTAAATTTGCTATGATACATAGTTGTAAGACGTGGATAACACATGTGGGTGCAACAGCCACTTAATGTGTAAGGTATTACATGTAATCTACTTAATAGTAGTACAAGTATTATTATGACCAAAATTATAGCAAATAATTCATAGGACGGGKAGTGGCCGGGTGAATTAAGGCGTCGGTTGCAACGCGCACTGTCGCCCCGTTATGAGCAGTTCATGCTTTCTGGAAAGAGAGACCAGACCGCCCCTCCTCCTAGKCACGGCAGAAACCTACGGGTGCCCATCGAAATTCTGTCAAACATTTACGTATTCCAACCAACAGTTCCCTCTCCCACTGTTCAACAGGCTAATGGCCATGGCTTTCGATGTCTCAGTCTCAACACCATAAAAAAATAAATATATAGTATATATTATATTAATTTAAATTACTTTTCTACTTTCTTCACTTTCATTTTCAGTCTTCACTTTTTCAACTCTACAACACACAAAATACAATACATTTAATAAGCATATCATATAAATAACAACTATGTTTATAACTTACGGCTCCTTGTAATATGTTTGCTTCCAATTTTCTGGAGTATTCTCATTTGGTTTGCCATATTTATCTAATAAACCATCTTTTATCATGCTCTTTTTAGTACTAGCCTAAAAAGATAAACAATTTAACTTTGGAAAATTATAATTTATAAAACAATTTACACATTATATAAGAATTATTTTTTAGTAAAGGTTTTCATTATTAAAATATATTTTTATGCATTTTAATATGATATGATTGTTTTTCAGTAGATTAGCATAAATTCTTATAAAATTGGGTTTTATTGAACGAGACACAACATAGTTATAATCTGAGTGACAACTAAATCATTACAAGAAAATGACAAATTTGAGTAATGTTATTTCAAGTTGAAGATTAAAGAATTTTCTTATGACAATCCTAMCAATAATATTTATGTTTTACAAAATTTGACATAAGACAACTTAGACAAAACGCATAATAGTAAAAACATTAAATAGAAGTGGTAGATAATAATACTTCATAACTTTTTTTATTAAACTTTCAAGAAACGTATAGGATTCAAAATTGGGACAGTTGTGATTTATAAAACCCTAACATATCTAATGATATATAAGTTAAATATCAGATGATTGACTGTATTTTGGTGTCTGTGTWAGGCATATCACTTTACACAAAACTTAAATAGCAATAAATCAAATAATTTGATTGATCATTATAATACCAATAATATTAATATTGTACCATTGGTCCCAGTCCCCATTTACGAGGATAGGTGTCTCGATCCATTAATACTCTTTTGATCTTGGCAATAATACCATGATCGCAACTTGAAATTGTAGCTGTTGTCATCAATGCAATACCTATTGGTAGCAAACAAATATAATAAATTTATTTATTTTTTAACACAGTAATTAAAATAAGCAACATAAAATGAAATATTAAACAAATCATTAATATATTACATTTTAAATACATGAATTTATAAAACTAAATTAGGTATAATTTATTTACTTTTTTTAAGACACCAACTTAAATAATATTTAATGAAACTAATATGTTACCTAAAGCTACAGCTTCTCCTTTAGAGGAAACAATGACAATTTCCATGTTTAGTTCAATACCATCATCATAACGTAATAATCCAGGCAACATAATTTTAGCTCCATAACAAATTGCATTGATCTACAATGAGTTTAAATTAAATTATGAATATATTATTATTGAATATTTGTGCTTTTTTTTGTACTTACGGCACTATCTTTAACAAATACACGTTTATAATTTGTAAGTATGCCTTCGAGGGGTCTGACTACTCTTCTTAAATAAGATTCATCTTTATTGTTCTCATACATCCATTGTGCATCCAAAACATCATGTAATGTTGCAAGGCCTTCTTCTTCACTTGTAATACCTTAAGAAACACRGTAAAAAAAACTTAGAGAAAGAAATATTTCTAATAATTTAATTAAATAATTACCGGAACGGTTTCTTCTAAGTTCTATCATTTGGCCTCCAGTTCCCAACATTAGACCCATATGAACACATAGTGTTCTTACATAAGTACCAGCCTCACACTTAATCCAAAATACTCCTACATTTGCTTCCTCATCATAATCCAATAGTTTATTTTCATATATAGTACGAATACGCAATTGACGTTTTACAGCAGCAATTAAAGGGGGGCGTTGGAAAAGAGCTCCACGTAAAGATTCCAGTGTTTTTTTAATCTAAATTATAAACAATAATATGATTTACTCATTTCTAAGCAACATTAATAATAATAACACCAACCTGTAGAACGTTTTCAACTGGATTATGAAGTTTAAAAATAGAAATATATTCTTTTCCACTAGATTGTTGTGATTTAACAAGTCGTGTTGCTCTTTC